ATAAACCTTTGACGGCAACATACCTCACATGCTGGAACCAAACTTGAATGCCAAAGTTCCACAATTTACAGGACCTTCAGCACAGCAGACAAGGATAAAAATGGCTCTCAGGAGGATTTTATCCCTCCCTCAGATTTGTCAGCAATTACCATTGTGAACTGAATCTTTTTACATATTAGAAAAGCAACACACTACTTTTGGATCAAAGAGGTATTTTGTTTACTTCAATTCATACACAAATTGTCTGTACCGTTAGCATTAAAAGAAGTTATGACCAGCACTGAAGTGTGACAAGACTTCTCAGATGGTTTCAATGTCTGGGAAGAAAAGCTCAGTAGGTTCATAAATCTAATATATCTTTTTCATAATAAAACCTAGAGCAGCAATAATTGCAATAAAGTTTTACAAGGCATCCTGAAAGGAATGAAAAAATAACTGCTCTCTGCACCACAGCTAAACAAAGCAAAATTAGATTTTTTTTTTTTTTAAAGCCCATAAGGAATTCAAATTAACAGACTTTGTAAAGGATGCTAGCAAAATACTTTTGAGAGAGACCCTAATTACTGGTTGCTTTGATTTTAGTGACCTTGCTTATCTTATCTTTCTAAACACACATTTTAAACAAGAAAGTTTCAAATGCCCAGACAGTATAAAGGCTTCTTTGGGTGCCAGACTTACAAAGAGCAAAATTCTGTTAAGTTAAACTAAGTTGGTTTAGTGTATTTTTGCCATGTTAATTCCCATTCCTCTTAACACAGACCACTAAGCTCAGTACCCAAGTGATTTCAGTGGCAGAGATGAACGGTGTTGTGGTTTAACCCCAGCCAGCAACTAAGCACCACGCAGCTGCTCACTCACTCCCCCCCACCCAGTGGGATGGGGGAGAAAATCGGGAAAAGAAGTAAAACTCGTCGGCTGAGATAAGAACAGTTTAATAGAACAGAAAAGAAGAAACTAATAATGATAATGACAACACTAATAAAATGACAGTGCTAATAATAAAAGGATTGGAATGTACAAATGATGCCCAGTGCAATTGCTCACCCCCCACCAATCGACACCCAGTTAGTCCCCCAGTGGCGATCCCCCTGCCCCCACTCCCCCCAGTTTATACACTAGATGTGACGTCCCATGGTATGGAATACCCCTTGGCCACTTTGGGTCAGGTGCCCTGGCTGTGTCCTGTCCCAACTTCTTGTGCCCCTCCAGCCTTCTCGCTGGCTGGGCATGAGAAGCTGAAAAATCCTTGACTTTAGTCTAAACACTACTGAGCAACAACTGAAAACATCAGTGTGTTATCAACATTCTTGCATACTGAACTCAAAACATAGCACTGTACCAGCTACTAGGAAGACAACTAACTCTATCCCAGCTGAAACCAGGACAAAAGGCCAAGACTTCAGAGCTCCAAACAGCCTACAGAGGCAAGCCAAAGGTACTGATGGTTGCAATGTGTTTGCTGTTGTTAGGAAGTCTCCCTCCATTTGCAGAATTTCCACAAGCTGACATTTCCTGCCAAGCGTTTCTGGTGCCTCTTAAAGCCTTGACTTAGATTATGCCTCCCAGAGTATGCAAATAAAAACAGCAGGTACAGGTACGAAAATACCCAGCCTTATGCAATTACCGTTCACAGTGATCAAGCAATCCTGGTGAGAAGCTGATGCTCAGCAAGGCAGCTGGAATACACTAAATCTCCCCACGTTAAATATGGCACAGGGAATTCTTCCAACACTTAGCAGTAACATATTGCTATATACTTTATGAAGTGAAACAAAGCAACTAAAGTAAAATGTTCCAAAATATGGTAGGGTGGAGACTGGAATGCTTATTCAATGTAAATTGAAGTATAAACATTCATACAGTGTTAAACCCATCACAGATACTTCACCTCTATTTCTTATAATTCCCATTCTTCTGTCCTGCCTGCCATCAAATTCCTAAGTTACAGTCCATATCAAAAGCAAACAGAATAGTCATCTGACAAGTACTATATGCTATCTGACAAACATAAGTGATTTTGGGGGCTGCTCTACCGTAGCAGCCTTATCTTACATCCACCAAAAGGTATAAAGGGCCTGAATTTTAAAGAGCTTCAAGCTTTTTTCTTATTTCACAGCCACAATTAATTTTAAAATATTTCTGCACTCATGAATGATCTGGTGCAAATCTTACTACTTTTAGCTTTTCTGCAAATGCCTGAACTGCAGCCTCAGGCAAATACTCAGATATCTAAATCAGGGCCTGCAAATACTTGCATACACAGATAAAAACATGTATTTTCCAAAAAAAGGAAAAAGATATCCTGCAGAATCAAGACTATTTTGGAAACTGTCCATAGGTTCATAAGAGCCATCTTGCCCTGGTTCTCTCCTTCACCCATTCCTTCACTGACTTTCCCCTCATCTTTACAGTCAGCCCTATTTTCGTCCCTCTTCACTTCTCCCTCTTCAGCCTCTCCTTTGGCAGTATCATCTGCAAACAAACGTGACTACTGTCTCTCTGCTCATAGCTCAAAGACCCCCTTTATTCCCAGACCCATCTTATTCTGCCCAAGCTGAAATCTCAGCCTTTCTCACACTTTTGCACCTCAATTTCAAAGAGATTAAAGCATGTTTCTCCCTCCAGAACCACATTTCTCTATCATTATGGACTTGCCACTTGCTCTGACATTCTAGGCATCATGTTTTGTTTGCATCACTTCCTAGGTTTTCTCATCTAAGTGGTTTAAAGGCCTCATATACACAATGTGGTGAAGGCAGTGCTGTCCTAATTGTGCTTTTCATTTGAGCGGCAGAAATCTGATCCATCTCTTGCCTCAAACCTATATAGTTGCATTACTATGGGATGTTACCCATTTCAGTTTAAGCTACCTCAAGAAGCAGATCCTATAAGGGCAGGCACAACCGATTGCTCTTAGTGACTGTCAGGTGTAAGCTGGACTAGGTGATCTGGGACCCTGTGCCAAGGAAGAGGCAGGGTGCAACCTTCTGCATCTGGTTGTGTAAAGTACACCCTCAGAGAGGCTGCGTAACACAGATAATCTGTCACATTACATCTCTTCTTCAGCCTCTCAGAATCTCACAGTTTGACTATACCAGATTCTCTGGCATTGCCCCCTTCAGTTCTGCTCCCTTTCACCTTCACAGAATGCTGCAGCAGCTACAGTACTCCCACCTGCTTTAACCATCTCACCTCTGTCTGTATGTCCCACCAGCGGCTCACCCCTCTCTAATACATCAAAAAACTGCTCATCTTCCCTTTCCAAACCATTCATAGCTCACTCCATTCAAAAGCAAAAGCTCTATAAGGAAATCTATATTGCTTACACAACACAGAGTAATTTACTTGTCTTCTGTGTTTCAGGCAACTAACTTACAGATATTTAATCTACTCAGGAAATTTATAAAATTGCAGCCTCCCAAGATAACAGTCATTATCCTGACACTTCACATTACTGTCATCCTACACATGCTACAATAAATAACTCCTCTACATTGCTTCATTTGCATTAGAAATCCTCTTCAGCCAATACTGTTAGTTTTGTTTGCAGTTTAAAATGGAGGCTGTTCTTTCCCTACACCTCATTCTCTATTTCATCTGCTACAACTCTGTTTCAATCCCATTGGACATGCAAACACAACTGGACTGACCATTTACACAGCTAAGGGGTAGATGGAAGGATCTTTCACAACTGCTTCCCTGTAGCACCTGAGACGCTGAGCTTCAGTCCAACATGTCAGATGCACCTGTCATAAACATCTTGGTCTGGCCTCCTAAGTATCCTATGTTCCATCTACATCATCCTTCACTTTTCCTTGCTACATGTCTCATTGTTTTGTCAAACTTCCTCGCTCTTTTGGTACTTCTTTTGTCCTTGGACTCATCTCGTTTGCCCAACAGCGCCACCAGGCACACAAACAATATATAAAGATAACCATTCATACCTGCGTCTTCCTTGTGCATCCCCAATACCATACAAATGTATACATACAAACACTGTGTCAGTACCACTGATGTTCCATAACAACAGTGCTAATTCTGTGAAGTTATAAATCACATCAGCATGACCAGTATAAATCCAAGCATTTGTAAGACTCCTTTTTACCTTTTCCACCCATTTGTGGCATGCACTGTAACATGTAGACACCAGGCATTTTATTTTTTCTATCTGCACAGCACATCTTGCAGTCTGTAATGAGTGAAAAATTACAATACCGCTTCTGCAGGGTTGTGCAGTTATAATGATGAAAGAAGAAAGGTTTGCAGGGACAAGGAAAAATTTTTATTAGACAATTTTGTATGGTAAGAAAAAAAAAAAAGACATACTTTTGGGTCCAATGTCCTTTCATCAGGTCCAACTGGCTGAATAGACACAGGGGATAGTGCCCTTCGTTTAACATTTTTTAATTTAGGATTAACCTTAAACCTGATTAGAAGACATGAACAGTTGGATTCAGCCTTGATTTAAGCCAAATTAGCTACAAGAAGATGAATTTTTCTACACAAAGCTCCAAGTTCCCAACCATCCATCTTTCTGCTGACTAGTAACACTGTCATTACAACAGCACATGTCTTTTTGTGGCCACCCTATTCTTCAAATATAATAACAGATCTCATAATTCAGTGTTTCTTTTACAGAGGGTCTCCAGACATAAAAGTGAGGAAATAGTAGTTAAAATGGTGGCAGGGCTGCCACTTCCCTTGAGTATATTTCCACCACTTAAATGATGCTGGGTCAAATTATCCAACTGATTGGCAAAAACAGCCCCATCATTTTTTGAGGTTACTGTTAAGAAGTATAGAGCATAACCTACTGATTACAGTGGATTACCACTTCTCTGCATCCTTAATTTGATTGTGGTAATCACAAAGCAGCTGTATGATCATCTTTCCCATCAAAGAAGAGGGCAGTGCAGAATAGCAATCTCTAATTGAAAAAGAGAGACAAAGTTTTGTTTTCTATGAGTAAAACTATTCAAGAAGTAGGAATGACTTCTGACCTTTAGCTTGCGGTCCTGGTCTCCACTGCACAGAGAATTTACAGACACTTTAAAGGTCTTCCAGGCTGGATTTAAGTTATTCATCACAACCTGCAAGTGAAAAGAAATGAAGGGAACCCTTAACATTTGCACATCTCCAAACAGAATTCTAACAAGACCCACAATTCTCAATACAGTACATTCACCAGAAAGAGAAGAAAGCAGAGCTCAGCTGGAGGTTTGCATAACAACATGCACTGGTATATGTGCCCTTGCGCAACCTGCAGTTTGCCACACTCCTCCTTTGGAAAGCCCCCAAAAGGAGCACAGGTGGGAAGGGGACCCATACACAGATCATGCTACAGAGATTGCCCCAGCACTGCCATACTTCAGTGGGAGCGTAGTTCACAAGGGAAAGGTTGTGGAATACATCCCTGAACTGGAAGCCATGGAAGTGATGCAGGTCTGGGCAATGGGGATGGGCAGCATCAATTTACAGACACATGGTCTGCCTTGCCAGGAAGACAGGCTCATTACCCAGAATACCTGCCACAGCTCCACCCTGTACTACCTAAATGCTACTTTTTAGGACAGTGCCAGTCATTATCACAGGAGCAGTAATGACACTGAAAACAAATGTAAAACACCTAGATTACAAATCTCTTTAGCGCCAGCAACCTGGGAGGAGGAGATGAAGATGCAACATAGTATTAATGGGAAAATATGATACTGTCTGTAGCATGGTTTGGGCTAAATTTAATATGTATAACTCCTGACCTTCAAACAATATCTGCCAGTTTAATTAAATTTGGATCTTTGGCTTCAGTACCATCTTCCTTTACTCTCGTGCATAAGTCAAGACCTGTTACCCACAAGTCAATAATTACACAAGAGATAGAAGTGGTTTTAAATGTGGGTGCTTGCAATACCCTTTGTGACATGGGAAGCATGATCTACTCCTCCTGACAGTCCACCTGTGTCCTTGGAAAATAAATCCAACCCTATTCCTTACCTCAGTCCTGTGTACAAGTTGTTGGGTTGCATCATCATTAATCCGGAAAATCTCCAGAAAAGGATCAGATTTGCTGAAAAAATCCTAAAATAAAATATAGGACAGGTTACTCTTGAAGTTCTCTTTCTTTGGGCTTTCCAGGCACAGTGCACTGGTGCTTCCCTGACTACTAATGAAAAAGGAGAACCAGCATGGTTTTAGTGAGACCTCTTGGGTCTCTCAGCAATATTTCATTCTTGTCCTTGTTCCACAAGGATTTCCATGGCACTGCTGTTGTTCTTAGTTTGACTTTTCAATCATGGCAGGCAGAACTGTAAAATGTCATTTTCTTGTCCCTTCTTACACCCAGTCCAGATACCTCAGCTTTAGCTCCTTCATCCACCTAGCTTGTTTCTTTCTGTCTGCATACCTGTTTGGTCTTTTGACACCAGTTTTATCACGCAAGGCCCTTTGAAGCATATTCTACAGTGGGGTTGAATTTCACCCTATTTGCCCACCCTCTCAAGACAGAAGTTAATTGGCCAAGACATTGTGCTGCTACCAACTAACACAAGTACTGGCAAGATGGATTAGAGAAGGTTAGAGAAGCAAGTCCTCTTTAGGGTGTGATAACATGGCCCATGTTAAGATGACAAACAGAGCGTGAGAATGCAGAAAATTACTTGATATCTCTAAGTGCAAGCAAATCTGTGACAGACATTGAGCTTCACATACTCACTGCACTGCAGAACACCTTTCCCTAGTCTTGCATCCAGCTAACAACCTTGAGTGTTCTTACAAAAACCTAAATTAAGTTGCTTTCTAAAGTGTTGCTGCAGTCTGGCCACAGCCTCTTTTGTTTCAGCAACATCTCATTTCTTCTGGCCATACTGGCTGGAGGGCGGAAGAGTAGCTGGGCATTAGCCCTCCACAGCTGGAGGGGGAAAGCTGGCTAATTCAAATTTCTAACTGTGCAATGCTGTGCGAGCAGAATTCAAATGTACTCAGCCCATTTTCTGTAGTTTCAACTCCCTTATTCATTTTCCTCTTCAAAAGAGCCACAGGATTAACTTTACGCATATGAATATTATTCTTCTCTATTGGCCATATCCAAAACCACAGACCTCCACATCAATTTGGGGAAGTCAGGAATTCTGTTTGCTCTCCTAGTGTTTCTATAAAAGCGTTAGTGTAAAAATGACTGTAATATGCATAGTTCTATGATTTTCTCCTCACCAAATGCCCAACATACTTATGTTTGACTAGCTGGACAGCCATTGGGATGGGAACAGCTTTGGATAAGATGCTAGCCAAAGTCTGGGCACGTCATTTTGGTCAAATTTGTCTTTAGGTCATTTTTACAATTCCACAACTGCAAAACAAGCAAAGAAATCAGGGCTTTCAAAAGAGACACCTGAATTTGAATGTCTGGAGAAGGAAGCGAGTCCTTAGGGACCATGAAGCCTTGGGCAAGGCTCAAGCAACCTAAAGTCTTTTCCATGCCCTAAAGATGACACCTATCAATGTTGTGTTCAGAGTGCTGTTCTGTGAATTATCTGTTTCTTTTCCTACTAGAGAAAAGGTAATGGTACGTTTAGAAACTGATGCAAAGATGTGCATATGTATTTGTTAAATCTTACCACATGGAGCTCTGAACAGCAGAGCTGTTATGTTTGCCTATTTGTTCCAATTACATGGTTACAGGACATTTAACGTAAGAGTGTGTAGAATCAGCACAAACCCCAACAAAGTCTGTAACTCCAGAGTTTGCCTCAAGGCCCTGATGTAGATTTAATATCTAGACTCCATCCAGCACTTGAAACTGCTAGTATACAGGGGGCTTTGGTAATCAAATTCTGCCTAATTACTACTACATAGCAAAGAGAACAAGCAGAGAGTGAGGGTGCTGGTTCAATCGTAGTGACACCAAAATCCAGAGTGATAGGGTTAAAAAAGATTGAGCTGCCTCTTCTCACACATAAGTATATTGATTGAAGCTGAGTAAAAGCTTAATGTTAACAGATTCTTTATCAAACGCAAGTTTGATAAGAAAAGTTATCTGAAAGAAAACACCTCAAAATGATGCATCCCAAGAATGCACCCTGGAGCGCAGAAAAATTCAGAAAGGAAACCAGGATTTTATCTAAGACTTAAAATATAGTATCATCCCCAGCTGAGTGTCATGAAAGCTAAAACAGCAAATCAGCACAAGGGGAGTAATTTTAATATCTGTTTTTAACTACCAAGGCAATACCACCTAAAGGGAAAGATTTTAATGCTGGATGATAGCTGATATTACCCCTCTGTCCTGGTTTCAGCTGGGATAGAGTTAACTGTCTTCCTAGTAGCTGGTACACTGCTATGTTTTGGGTTCAGTGTGAGAAAAATGTTGATAACACAATGGATGTTTTCAGTTGTTGCTAAGCAATGTTTAGTCTAAAGTCAAGGATTTTTCAGCTTCTGATACCCAGCCAAGGGTATCAGAAGGGGCACAAGAAGTTGGGAGGGGACACAGCCAGGACAGCTGACCCAAACTGGCCAAAGGGGTATTCCATACCGTGTGACGTCATGCCCAGTATATAAACTGGGGGGAGTTGGCCTGGGGGGGGATCACTGCTTGGGAACTAACTGGGTATTGGTCAGCGAGTGGTGAGCAATTGCACA